GGCTCGTTGCATCACTCTCCATCTTCTCCTCCGTCCATGCCCGAGGTAGAATTCCTTCAATCTGTAGAGATGGGATTAAACCCATGAGTTGAAAAACTTAATAGGTGTCATAGATGCATTCGTGATCAAGCTATACATTTCAAAACATTAACTTTATGACTTTTCATACATGTCGTACCCGGAGGCACCGTTTGACATGAAAGGGTATGCCGTACCCGAGGGCACCATTTGATATACGAACATTTCTTCAACATAGAGGGGTATGCCGTATCGGAGTACCATTTGACATACAACCATTAACATAGAGGGATATGCCGTACCGGAGTACCATTTGACATACAAACATTAACATGAATCGAAAATTATAACTTAACACGATTAAACACATTGCACCTCTATCTACTTTGATTGATACTTTTGAAACTTTGAAAATTTGGATTGAAAACTTCGATGAAACTTGGACGTTGAAAGAAATGCACTCCTTGGATGTTTGAAAATCATTGAAAATTGATGCTTGAAAACACTTCTTAAACTTCTAGGAAAAATAGTCTTCGTCCCTCTCTTTTTCTCTCTTAGAAACTCTTTTTTTAGTATGTAAAAGCTCTTGCTTTTGATGTGAAAAAAAATGAGTGAAATAAGGTTTCTATTTATAGGTAAATATCTCATAACTTAAAGCAAATGAAGGGTCAAATTTCATTTAATAGAGAAAACATGGGTGCCATTTAAGTTTGAGGTTAAATGCTTCAATTTAGTGGGGTTTTTATTGCCAAAAATGGGGGTGGCCCTTTGAGAAAATAATTGATGAAAATAAATATTTAAATTCTAGAGAAAAACGAGAATTTTTATTTCAAGCAGTTTCGGTCGACCGGTTGTAGTCTGGTTAACACTGCATAGCTTTTAGTGTTTCTATCATAACTTCTCCCGATATCCGATTGAGGTAATTTAAAATGCGTTAGAAAGCTAACTCAATGAGATACAACTTTTATTTAGATATCATCTTCCAAATCGAATGTTTCATATGTCGAAAATGGGTCTCAAATGAGACTAAAAATCTGAAGTATACTTTAGTCATCCAATATTCATGTTTTAGTGTCATTAAGGTGTCTAGAATTATTTTGGGTTCTATATCCCCCACACCTTAATTAAAATTTTGTCCTCGAAATTTACCTTCCGATTGGGCGAATAGTGTTGGATACTTGTCTTTGGCTTCTTCTTCTTTTTCCCAAGTGACTTCTTCTACACCGTGATGATTCCGCTGTATCTTAACCAGCTGAATCTCTTTATTCCTTAGTTTATGCACTTTTCGATCCAATATCTTGATCGGTAGTTCCTCGTACGATAAATCTTTCTATACCTCCAAGGTTTGATGACTCACTACATGATTATGTACATACTTCTTTATCATCGATCTAGGAACACATTGTGCACCGCCGATAATTCAGGTGGCAAAGCTAGTCGGTAAGCCACATTTCTGACTCTATCAAATATCTCGAAAGGTCCGATATATCGGGGTCATAGCTTGCCTTTCTTTCCAAATCTAAGTACACCTTTCATCGGTGCTACTTTCAGAAACACTTTATCCTCAACTTNCCCTAACCTTTCATAAATATATAGTTAGACCATGTTTGATAACCTTTTTTTCCATGGAATTTCATCAAAAATTGGATTTTTGATTGCAAACAAATGTCGTGGAATTGGTTTTCCATTTCCCACTCCACGTGACCCTCTTTTCTAGCTTTTTAAGGAAAATCAATTCCTTTAATTTTGGTGTGAAAATGATTTCCAACCTTTTGTTTTTTTTTTATTTTATTTTCAGCAATGGGAACAAAATCTATCAACAATTGTAAAAAATAAAAAAATAAAAAATTACCCCTTTAATTGACAATTTTCATAAAAACAAGACACAGCGAACGTCAAAAGATCCAAAATTTTAACATTTTTCAGATGAAAAATTATACTAATCAAACACATTTAATTGACAACTTCCAGAAAAACAAATTCTAGGTAATTCAATTATCTTAAATTCGTTTTCTTTCCACCAAAATTTCATTATTACAATCAAACGGACCCTTATAGACTGCTAGACGAAAATCGTCCCCTTTCCATTAGTTAACCAAAAAATATAAAAATTGATCAATTTTGACCAAATTAAAGAGATAAAATGATACTTTGCATTTTTCTCGTATTAAATAAGTTATTTAGTTAAATGAAAAAATCAAAAGATAAATATAAATATATATAAACCCCCCACATCTCACCCCCAATCAAAACCTTTCTTCCTCTTCTTCTCCTCCTGCGAGACACTACCAGTGCCAGCATTCTTAGTTATTCTTTTTTGATCCAATGAAGCCTCCAATCCAACGTGCACGTGAAGCCGCTGATGGCCATAAGTATTCACTCTGGCTTTCAATCGGTCATATTTTCCTATATAAATACTGTTGTAATAAAGTGGTGTTAATGAAATTGAATTATCGTATACCGTATATGCAGCTTACCGTATTTACAGCTTACCATATTTGCAAGCAACTTATCATATTTGCAGCTTACTGTATATATTACATACCGTATTTGAAGTTTATCGTATATACATTTGATCGTATTTGCACATATTTTCTTTATCCTTTTCACATACCATATTTTCACTTACACCTAAAAATATCGTGTATATATATAACATAAATATAAAACAAGTAAATTGCAAAATATATGAATCTAGTAAATTGCAAAAATATAACTAGCTAAATAAATAACCGTAAGAATAAATTGCAGAAGATAAATAAATTTTCAACCCGAGGCCTGTGCAAGCACAGTTTTCTTAAAACAGATTCGCTCCCTCACCACAAGTGCTTGAGATTAAATTCGAACGTCTATTTCTCAGGATATAATGGTGACAGTAGAATTCGAGCATTGCAAAAACTATTTCTGCGAACTGAGTTTGTATTGAACAATATCACCAACAAGATGACGCTGAAAATGTAATAGATTATGTATACAGACAACACTAATTTTGATAGAATATTTTCGTGTGTATGCAGTATTCTCGTGGTTAGATTGCTGGAAAATGAGATTTAATATAAAATTAAATCTGCCTATTAATTCCATAGCAATAAACGCTACAGTTGCTTCAATTTCTAGGAGTTTTGGGCAACTCAAAGGTCGGTTGAAGAAAGCAAAAAATTTCAAAAAAGAAAGCAAAAAATTTCAAAAAAACGTGGGCACTCCAAACAGGCTAATTTTGCTCCGTTCGGTTCGACATTCTTGTACGTAGGTCGCGCCTATACACAAATTCAAGGTTCGAATGCAATTTTGGTCCATGATTTACACCTCCCTGCACGCGCACGTAGAAAGAGCCTCTTTGCTATACATGATTACACTCTTCTAAAGTGTAATCCTATATTAAGTGGTTCATACTTTCTTTATTTTCCTATGTAGGACTAGTTTTATTCCCACATAAACCATCTTCCAATGGTCATCTTTGAGCTCCAATTTCTCATTCATCCATTCATCAATTTTGGCAAATAAATATATGATTTCGATACTCTCACGGAGGAGAACAAGGATCAACTTCGATCTTTCAAATTTGACCAACGGGTCCCACACAAATTTTATGCCAAAATCAAACACTAGCCCTTTTTTCCCACAATTCCCCACATGAATGAGAATTGGGAGAGAAATGAGACCGTGAAACACGAGACTTGGTGACTATGAGACACAAGACTAGGTGATAAAGTTCAACGGTTGAAGCCTACATAGGATAGTTAGGTATTACCCTTTGAACCTTTCCTTGTGAACTTATATTTACTTTACTAGCTGACCAGTAGACATGTTGTCCGTGAACTATTTTTCCATTTATGTAAGCGATGATATACTCCACACAGGATTCTTCCTAACACAATTCAGTTCTCATTATTATGTTTGTTTTGGCCATGAACATATGCCTGGTTCTGTGAGAGTTTTCAATAATTGAGCCTCACATAATTCTCTTAGAAGCGGCCCCACTTCTCTCTTACATAGGCGATTTCTTATTACAAGTAACCCGCATTACTTGGCTCAAACTTCGACGCATAAGAATCATTAAAAGCCTATTGCTTATCTTTCATCTTTACGGACATCACTGTTACATCATAGGAATGGACAAGAGGAAACACCCTACAGTGATTTTTTAAGCCTTTACAATTAGGTTGTCTCTTTGAACCTAGATCTTGGGATCTCCAATCAAATAGGTTTGGTTTCCTTTGTAATGACTTATTCATTCAGGTGCTTAAGTCCCATTCATTTCGATAATTTCCCAACTAACTCTCTATTTAACCTTTTAGTTAGCGGATCTGCAATGTTATCTTTTGACCTTACATAGTCAATAGTGATCACTCCAGTTGAGAGTAGTTGTCTTATGGTATTGTGTCTACAACGTATGTGTCTAGACTTACCATTGTCTATGTTACTCTGTGCCCTTCCTATTGCCGATTGACTGTCACAATATATGCAAATTGCTGGCACATGTTTTGACCGTCTTTGATTATCCTCTAAGAAGTTGCGCAACCGTTTGGCCTCTTCACCATATTTATCCAGAGCTATAAACTCAGATTCCATCGTAGATTTGGCTATAATTGTTTGCTTAGAGGATTTCCACGATATGGCAGCACCTCCCAATATGAACATAAATCCAATGGTAGACTTTGAGTCTTTTATATCAAATATCCAATTAGTATCACTGTATCCTTCAATGATCGCTGATATCTAATATAATGTAGTCCATAGTCACGAGTACATCTTAAGTATCTTAATACTCTTACTATTCCTTTTCAGTGATCAGCTCCTGGATTACTCATGTATTTACTCGGCTTACTGACTATGTAGGCTATGCTGGTCTTATACAACTCATCAAGTACATTAGACTTCCAATAACTCTCATGTATTCTACTTGAGAGACACTTTCGCCTTTGTTTTTAGATAGATGCTGATTTGTATCTATTGGTATTCTAGCCAAGCTAGTATTATTCTATTGAACTTTTCCAAAATTTTGTCCACATAATGTGATTGTCTTAGAACAAACCCATCTGATGTTCTTGAGATTTTTACTCTAAATATAACATTAGCTAAACCTATATCTTTCATGTCAAACCTCGAATTTAACATAATTTTAGTGGATTCAATCATCTTATTGTCACTACCAACAATTAGCATGTCATCAACATAAAGACATAAAGTGACACAACCATCTTTAGCGTCTTTGACATAAATACATTTGTCACACTCATTGATTTTAAATCCACTCATTATCATGACATTATCAAAATTTTCATGTAATTGTTTGAGTGCTTGTTTTAAGCCATATAGTGACTTCACCAATATACAAACTTTCTTTTCCTGCCCTGGTGAGGAAAACCCCTCGAGTTGTTCTATATAGATTTCTTTTTCTAAACCTCCATTTAAAAAGACAATTTTAACATCCATTTAAGGTACTTCAAGATTTCACAAAGCGATAATCGCAAGTATCAACCTAATAGATGTTATTCTCGTCATTGGAGAATACGTATCAAAGTAATTAAGGCATTCCCTTTGTTTGTAATCTTTTATTACTAATATGGTTTTATACTTTCAATAGTTCCATCTGCTCTCATTTTTCTTTTGAAAATCCATTTATAGCCTAATGGTTTGCTTCCTGGAGGAAGATCCACTAGCTCCCATGTATGATTTTGCAGTATGAAATCTATTTCATTTTTAATGGCCTCATTCCATTGAGGTCCTTCCGAGAAATTCACAGTTTCTTGATAACTTTGAGGTTTATTTTCTAGCATATAAGTCTAAAAATCAGGACCATACGATTTTTCTATCCTTTACTGTCTGCTACGTCTAACCTTAGTCTCATTTTCTAATTCTTCGTCATGACCATTTTCATTCATAGTCTCATATGTTCGTTTGGAAGAGCTTGCTTCTTCTTTGGACTTGTACGGAAATACATGTTCAAAGAATGAAGCATTTCTTGATTCCAATATCGTATTGTGTGCATGTCTGGGATT